GATCCCAATAACCCCAAAACCCAACAGATGGGATCCCAATAACCCCAAAAACCAACAGATGGGATCCCACCAACCCCAAAACCCAACAGAAGGGATCCCAATGACCCCAAAACCCAGCAGAAACGATCCCACCAACCCCAAAAACCAACAGATGGGATCCCAATGACCTCAAAACCCAACAGATGGGATCCCACCAACCCCAAAACCCAACATACATCATCCCACAAACCCCAAAACCCAACAGATGGGATCCCAATAACCCCAAAACCCAACAGATGGGATCCCAATGACCTCAAAACCCAAAATATGTGATCCCACCAACCCCAAAACCCATCGCGTGGTCCCCCACCGACCCCAAAACTCAAAACCCAGCGTCCTAAGAACCCCCAAAAATCCACAGGTGGCCTCACAAACCTCTTCTGGATGAGGTAATCCTCCAGGATGTCCAGGCATCTCACCATCTGGGAGAAGACCAGCACCTTGTGGCCTCCGGCCTTGAGTTTGGGCAGCAGCTTGTCGAGGAGGACCAGCTTCCCGGCCGAGCGAACCATGGCCTGCAGGTGGAAGTCGTGGGGCACGTGGTGGTGGCAGGAATCCCGGAATTCTGCCAGGATCTTCTCCTCAGCACCTATTTTGGGGTGGGGAGGAAGGTTTAGAGGCATCCGAGAGCTCGCAGCGCTTTGGAAATATGGTAGAAAAAATAAGAATTCGGGGCAGAAAAATGGAAATAATGGGGTTGGAGAACGTTCTCATCCGTCTTCTCAAAGACATCGGGTGGTGAGGGAGATGGAAAACCCCAAATCCCACAAAACACCCAAATTTTAATGAATAAAAGTGGAAATCCCAACAGATTTAGGGCACTGAAACCGAGCTATGGGGTCAGAAAGCAAAGAAACCCCATAAAAATGGGGATCTTGGAAAAACGTTCTCCACCATCTTGTCAAAGACATCGGGTGGTGATGGAGATGGAAAACCCCAAATCCCACAAAACCCCAAAACCTTCATGGATCAAAGTGGAAATCCTAACAGATTTAGGACATCACGACCAAACTATGGGGTCAGAAAGCAAAGAAACCCCATAAAAATGGGATTGGAGACCTTGGAGAACGTTCTTCATCACCACCCGATGTCTTTGGGAAGATGGTGGAGATGGAAAACCCCAAATCCCACAAAACCCCAAAACCTTCATGGATCAAAGGGGAAATCCAATCAGATTTAGGATATCACGACCAAACTAAGGGGTCAGAAAGCAAAGAAACCCCATAAAAATGGGATTGGTGGCGTTGAAGAACGTTCCCCACCACCATCTCAAAGCCATCGGGTTGTGAGGGAGATGGAAAACCCCAAATCCCACAAAACCCCAAAACCTTCATGGATCAAAGTGGAAATCCTAACAGATTTAGGACATCACAAACAAACTATGGGGTCAGAAAGCAAAGAAACCCCATAAAAATGGGATTGGTGACGTTGAAGAACATCTTCCACCATCTCCTCAAAGCCATCAGGCGATGATGGAGACGGAAAACCCCAAATCCCAC